CCAAGCACTGGTACTCAAATGTGTACACTGCCATCCGCTAATAAGGTCTGATTAATGATTCGACTAAGCCCCCGCACCACGACAAGGTGCCTGCCTTCGCGGGGGAAAATTTTTTAAGGATGCCAACTTACAAGCAAAAATATACATTCCAACAAAAACAACAGATATTTGTTTAGATTGTTTGGAACCTCAAAGAAGCTTGTACAAAATATTCCAAAACGGGACCTTATACAAAATTTGCCAAACACAGATCAAATAAATATTCGTCGGAATACGAGATCTGTTACAAATATGAAATGTATTTGACTTTGAATGAATATAATAAATCCTTACCCAGAGGAACGAAGTAACCTGTTTTATTGTCGATGGCTTACTTCATAGATGTAGTTTTATGAATTATTTAAACTTTACTGATATTTGGTTGTTGTTGTTGTTGTTGTAACGGCAGAATTCTGCCGAGTTGACAGTCCTTGGCCGGATAAAAATCCGGGTCCGTTCCGGGTTTCGTAGACCCGACTGTCCTGGGAACGGACTGATATTTGGTCATTATAATCAGTAGAAGATTTAAAACTTTTAAATAATTGGTTGCTTGATATGTCTAACTCCAAAAGTTCTATGTGTTGGCATCCGCGGTTCAACCTCGGGTGATAGGAAGTAAAAACCAGCAAATCATATTACACTTTTTAACAATTAAGTTTATTTAATTCTCAAGAATTTTATATGCAATTTTAATTAATTTTACTTCTTAATCCTTACATTGTCTTAGCTTAATAATTTATAATATTTTTTTTTATTTTTCAATTTATTTCTACTATTTATAACGTTTTCATATTAATTATTTTACGTTAAACCTTATAAACGAATTAAATGTGACTCATATTTATCTCTACTTCGCGGCTGGAATTTTATGCTTTATTTGCCATCAAATAATCGGCGAACTTTTAAAATACCATCATGAAAAAGTAAAATTTTAACCAGACTCAATTTAGTAAAGTTTAGAACGTGGGGGTGCGTGGATATAAACTATAAAATTATCTAATATGTCTGTCAACAGCAGACTGTGCTAATCGTGATGAGACCCAAAGACAAAGTTTTCCTCTATTATTATGAATTATGGTAATACATTATGCGTTCCAGTTAATTCATACTTATTTATATTATTCTGAGTTTAATTGGATGTCATTTTCAAAATGAGTACACATTCCTCCCCCAAATATTTGATTTAATTTATATATATTTGTTGATACTCATCCCATAATTACCTTATACGAATCAAGATTTAAAATTTCTATGCGTCTGTTTTAATATTATTTTATGTTATTTTCACATTATTTTACAACTTAATCATAACTACAGTTAATTAATAGTTATCTATGTGCTAACTTCAAAACTGTTTTCTTTTAAAATATAAAAATCTATTTATTTTCAGTTTTTAACTTGCCATATTCGCCAAATTCCATCTGTTGAGTTATTCACCAGCTCTTGAAATGCGGCACTTTTAGTTCCGACAAACTCACCATAGCATGCAGGTGTGTGTTGTTTGGTTTAAAATCTGCAAATCAATATCGGGCTTTCAACTTGCATTCTTGATATTGCTAATTATATATGCATACGTTTTAGTGATTAGTGCACTTTTATATGAACACAAGATTACAATAGAAAATATCTACTCATCATGGTAAAAACACAACACTTCAACACAAAAAGTGCAAATTCATTTCACTCCTACACACATACACTCCATTAAAAGATTAGATTAAATATAGCGAATATTTACTCACCCTAGAAATTCCAATCGTCTGCAATAATTGTACAATTAATGCTTCCCTAAAGCCATTCCTATTCCGCGGGTTTACTCTCCGCTGACTGCTGCATCAGATCCTCCAAGGGGAAAAATTCGCCACCCCCACTACCACTGGCTCCTTCACCGCTGCCACCAGCTACCTCTACATTATCCTCATTATCAGCTGTATTGCCACTACTTGAGGCACCAACGCCACTTGTCGTTACAGATGTTCCAGATATTGCTGCCGCTGTATTATCAGCCGCTACCTGCGGCGTTCCCTCCTGTTGAGTTGCGGCCATCGCCGCATCTTTATCAAGCACAACATGCTGTTGATCCTCCTCACCGCCACCAGACTCCAACATTTGCTGTTGCACTCTCACAATTGGTTGACCATCGGCAGTGTATGATACTGATACAGGTATGCGGGTACCATCTTCACCAATTACATGCGCCCCTTCACCCAATTCACCGTCATGACCTTGCTGTATTACCAATTGACCATCGGCATTTAATAGCGAGGCATCAATCAATTGTGTTTCATTGTTTTCACCCTGCACCAAAACCATTTGACCATTACCATCGGTCATCATTTGTAATGTTTCACCATCGATACCATCACCAGATTGCAAGAGGCCGGCACTTTGTAGAAGTTGTTGTATTTGTTCGGGATCCTGTACTAATATTTGATTACCATCAGCATCGGTTATGATGTGATTATCTAATTGCAGCAGCTGTCCATTTTCATTAAGTATGAATTTTATTTGCCCGCCTTCTACTTGTGCTTGCATTGACTCATCTAATTCCATTGCAACTTGTTGTTGATTATGATCTGCTTCTCCATCTCCAGCCGCAGTGCCATGTTCGGAGTGGACCTCTCCGTTAGCATCTGCAGCCCCCACAGCGCTTGCGTTTGCCTCCTCAGAAGCAGGTGTGCCTGTCTCATCTTTAGCTGTTTGTTCAGTTTCTTTCGATTTTTCTAGATCAGCTCGAGTACGTTCATCTGCTGTTTCAACACCTTTCTTTGTCACTAACGCGGGCATATCATCCTGCGTCACTTGGGGTTGTGCATGCTCTTGCGTATCATTATCATCATCTAAACTTGGCATACTAACTGGACCAGAAATCTTTCGTTCCACCCCGAGACTACCACCACTCTCCTGTTCTTCTTTATTGCCACTTCCTCCTGCTTTTTCAGCATTCGTGGAAGTCATACCATCGTCAGGTTGATCTAAAACAGGCATATCTATGCTAACTGAAACTGGAGCACTGCTTGTGGGTATAGATTTAGTACTCTAGAAGATGGAAAGTCAGTATTGTATGTAAGTGAGACATATAGCATAAGATTTCCGTAAATATTTATATATTTTTCAAACAGTTTAAGAATAATTACCTCACTTGCCTCTTGTGCAGCTCCACTATCTGGCTGAGGAATAGTAATATTAAATGTGATACCCCCAGAGCCTTGCTGTGATGTAATAACCAAATTGTCATTACTGTTTTGTCCACCCGTAGACGCAGTGTTTGTTCCAGCCACAGTATTACCCGTTGTAACGGATACTGAATCACCACCGTTATCATTTTTTTCGGAATGCATTTTTTCAAAAATGCTCTCAATGTCAGCTTCTACACCGCTACCAACACCTTGATGAGACGACATATCACCGCCCTCACCATTGTCACCTTTGTTGTCGTCATTGAGCAATGCTGCAGCACTCGGGTGGAGCATATTATTGCCACTCGAGGTAGCTGATGCAGACGTAGTTATAGTAGTACCACTCGTACTACCACTACTAATACCTTCCTTGTCTTGACTATGCGCCTCCATGTGTTGATTATAATAGTTTTCTTGTATAAATGTCAGTGAACAAATGTGACAGGAGAAGAAGCGTATGTTGTTGGCTGCTGATACATCGGTATTGCCACTACTTACAACAGTATTTACTGTATTGTCACTTAATGCCTCGTCGATAGTTTCTTGCAACAATTTTTGTGTTGTTAATAGATTTTGAGACGTGGGTTGTTGTTGTTTAGTTGTTGTTATCTGTTTCACTACGGGCGCCGACTGTGTAACTATTTGTTGATGTTGCACCACTGCTGTATTAGTAGTCTGCTGTTGCTGGGGCTGCTGATGTACTTCGAAATGTTTAACCAGCAATTCACGTTTGGGGAAGGACATTGAGCAGGTGCCACATTTGAAGTAATTCGGCTGATGTTGTCGAGCGTGTTGAGTGGCCGCATCTCGTGTCTCAAATCGTTGAGCGCATAACCGACATTTGAATGGTTTTGGTTTTGCACCGGACAAATGCTTTCTAAAATGCTCATCAAAGAGCGCCTTATCTGTGGACTTGAATTGACAATGATTACATGTGTATAATGGCGTTGTAGCGCCAGCGTTCTCGCCTGACCCCAGCTGTGTTGCAGGAATTGTCGTAGTACTTGTTACTACTACGTTTGTGCTGTGATTTGCTTCCATGTGCTTTCGCAAGGCCGGCTCATTTACAAAGTTTATATGACATACAGCGCATGTATTATCCATAGTGGTATTGTGTTCCCGCACCATGTGCTGTTTCATAGTACCAAAGTTCGGAAAAATTTTCTTACAATTTTTACACTGGAAATTTTGCGATTTGCATGTTTCATAATGGGTATTAAACAGACGCATGTCAGATGTCTTATAATCGCATGAAAGACACTTATAAATTCTAGTTGTCTTGCGTTGAAATGTTTGCGTGCCTCCAACTGAAGTGTTTTGAGTTGAACCTTGTGTTGATATTTTCATTTGCTGAACTGCGCTAACGACTATTAATCAATTTCGAAAAATAGAGTAAGTAATAATGGTTTAGTATTATTCGATTTAAACTTATAGAATAACAATGTTTTCGATGAAGTAGATTAGTTCTTAAATATGTGTACAAATATTATATGAGAGTACTTTTATAGAAGATTATATGCAATATGGTTTCAACTGAGTTTGCTAAATAAAAATATGATTACCTGGTGGCGACTGTTTTCCCACATTTGAATCTCCTGTCGCTGTATGCAATACTTTACGTACCCGCCCCAAATCGTTGCTGGTATCTTCGACTGTACGTGTAATTCCACCACTATTTAATTTTTGCATTTTAATTGGTGGTGATGTTCCACCACCACCACTGTCATCATTCAACCCATACTTCTTATGAAGTAGATTCATTAAGTTGGTTCGAACACGCTCCACATCATTCTCCAACCTATCCAAATAGTTAAGCAGGTTCGTACAACGCGCGCAAACCACATCATCTACGCTTACTATAACCATAAAAGCATCACCCACAAGTTGCCCAATTTTATTTGGAAATTTTGTCGCTGTATGTGATGTCTGCGTTTCGGTGAGCAAATTCTGTTGTTGACTGGCACTAAGTGCATCATCGCAGACGTAGCAACGGTTTGTGCTATTTACATGGCTCTGTTGCAGATTATGTGTATTACTGGACGTCACAATACCAGAACCTACTTTTTGTTTTAATATGCGAGGCTGGTTGAGGCCGGTAACTGTCACCGCACCGCTTGAGTGCAAATTATGAATTTTGCGAACCGCGTTATTCATCTGATTATTCATTTTTTGATGAAGGGCACAAAAATAAAAGCTACCGCGACGCGTTAAAACGACGCCAAAGCAGGATTTCACAATTTATACAAATTGATAGTTTTACTGTCACCGTATTGCCTAAAAAAAACATTAGTTATATTAGAATAAATATCAGTAGGATTGTAAATTTAAATTGTTTGTAATAATACTAATATAATGCCATTTTAAGCACGCTATTTCTAGAAAAAAAAAAATATTATTTTTTCTCAAGCATTACCCATTCACTAGACGACTTTCGTTGGATTACCCTTAAATTAATTTCAATGTTTTCTTCGTTAAAATTTAACGAACAAGTGACACATGCTTTGAGATAAAACCCGAATTGTGCTTCAGGCCATCATATAATTTAAAGAGTGAGATAAATATATTGTTAATTGAGAAAGAATATATCGTGGTTAGGCATCCGGCGGCTATTTTTTTTTTTATCAATTATTTTATCAACTGCATACATGTATACTTTAAAAATACCAAAGTGCATTCTCTTTTCAATAGGAAGGATAATTAAGCCACAATTTTATAGTACGAAACCAAATTTCAAAGTTGTTAGTTAATTAGAACTACTTATTTGTATGGCTATTTTAATTTCGAAGTCGCTTTAAATTAATACCCGAAGTCTGCATCTGAGATCACACTGTTATGACATCCTTTGAAAGTTGATTAAATTCCCGGGTATAGTTGACTTCCTATATATTAAACATTTTAGCCAAACTGCAAAATGCCGCCACACGACCATAAAACAAACACAATTACTAGTGAAGGTAATAAAATCATTTTATAAGTTATTCCTACATTCAGCACCCTTAATTTAATCTGGCGGGAGAATTTATTTAAAATTTCAATAATACCCAAAATTGTATGGGCATAAAACCATTTATAACATAAATTGCAAGTTTTACATTTTATTGCTGGTGAAAATTACGTTTCACAAATTTCTTACACAAATTATTTCTTGTCACAAAAATTACACTGTGCCGCAAACGCAATCAATTTCACACTATCCACTACTGTACGACATTTCAGCAAGCCACAAAATGAAAATCAACTTAACGAACGAGAAATCGAAGCACGAGTAGAGGTAGCTAAATTGCCGCCTCTGTGTATTCACATTAAGCCCTCAAAATTTCTTTTCTATTTAAATCCTCTATACCCAATTAACTTTAAATACAATATATGAATTACCTATGAATATAACTTTATGATTTTAATATTTAACTGCTACTGCTTCATGAACACACCACTGGAGCCACAAAAAAGCAACACTGTACAAAAATTGCCGTTGCAAACAGAAAAATATTCCAAACGCCTAGAAGTTCCGTACGACAATGTTCAATTTAACGAATGGTCTTCGCGTTCGTTCGATTTTCTTACACCACCGAATCGAATTTTACCCAGTAAATACATGCGCAAGAAAGAAACAAATACAAATTCACAAATAACTCAACGAAAATTAAAAATTCGTCAAGCATAAAACTAAAATGGCCGACTTCTGTTTTCGTTAAATTTATTGTAAAATGCCAAGCGTGATTTCAGGCATTATTTATACCGTCTATTACGTTCCCTATATTCTCCTTTGTATATAAACCTTTTGGCTAAATCCATCTTTTTCACCTAAGTTTCATATTATTTTCAAGAAATATTCCTTTTTTATATGTTAATGTATGCACTCAGTAATTTAAAATTAGGATAGTCACCCTCGAGAACTCAAACGAAGCAACGCCGCGTTGCGCTGCAACAGAATAAAAGCGACGCAAAAATAAACGTATCGTATGCCTTGTCCCACGCACAGAACACGTTCCTCGCTGTACCGCTGCTTTCTCAATACTAAACGGCAGAGCCGCAAAATCGTAGTAGCAGAGTGCTGACATTGACGTTGGCAGAACATCGAGGGATGCCAAGAAAACTTAAACTTCTGTTCACGAAACATGAAACATATATGCATGTGTTTACATATGTATGGATGAAAGTACACGCATGCTGTACTTTTTTAGAAGGAAAAAAGGCGGGTAGCAGCGCAAACAAACTGACATACAAAGGGACATAAATTGAATAATGTGATATACTTATGAAAAAATGAAAATCTCTATTTTATAAACGAAAATATATATTATGCAATTAAAGTCGCTTATTATACAGGCATTGAAGCTGTTTTGGTTCAAGCTTCATAATATATGTATGTTAATATACATATGTATTTATATGAATATGTAAAAGTATAGTTAATAAAATTTGCCGGCTGGGAGCTTCTTTCCGCCAATTTCTTTTTACAGCCATACACATAGTACATATTGCTATTATTTCCACGTATGTGTAACTCAGTATATATATACATATGTATATATAAATGTATACCGAGATCTGCGTTTATTTTTTAGTGATGTCAATATTAGTCAACGGGTATCCGTTACCTTTCAATTACGTGTGGTTATGAATACTTCTCAGCTATGTAAAGATGTGCATATAATGCATGTGCATACATATGTCGTATTGTTCTTTACGTAGAATCGAGAGATTTTGTGTTCAATGTACTGAGAAAAGAACATCCATAATAATAGTAGCTGCATCCATTTTTATTCGCTAAATATCTTTACGAAATTTAGAATGTAATATTTTCCCCAGCAACGGTGCAATGTCTGAATAAATTGATACATATCAGAATCTTATAGCATACAGCTGGCGTACCAACTGACCGGATCAAAGTCAAGTTCTTGTATGGAACCTTTTTTATTTGCGACAAGTATTGTAGCTTCGGTTGCACACAACGATTTTTTCTTGTTTGGATATAAAATGTGAAATTTGTGTGTAGTGCATTTTGAGCTTATAGACATTAGAGAAGTAATTGTCCTTATACTATGTATATGTGTTGTGCCGACGTTATCAACTTGTAGACCTTCCTTTTGACTTCTTCACAAAATAATTTTTAACAAACTAACGAATAACCATATATGTATGTATGTACAAACCTACGTACAACTCGCAACACTAAGTTAATGATCTGTATATATTCACGAATTTAAATACATATGTATATACATATTTATTTATGTATATACAGGTACCAGCACCTTGGTTGCTAAGCAACTTATTAACTAAATTTTGTAAACAAAAATAAAACTCTCTCCTAACTGGAAAAATTATAAAATCGTTCTTAATACAAAAAGAAACTTGTTTGAAGCCACTCCTCATGTGCCGAAGTTGGAAAAAGCTAAAATAATGCGTGGTGTGCTGAAATGGGTGCAAAAGATTGAATTTCCCCACATAAAAGATGACCAAGTCAGGTTAGTAGAGAACTACAAACATATAAATATAAATAAATGCCAGCAAAGTTAACAAAAGATGAAATAATTTCTTCAATCGGGACTTTTTAAATAGCGTACACTCTCTCTGTTATCATCCGGAAGGCAAGCAACTAGTGGTTGCAGCCGGTGAACGAGTGCTTATTTATGACCCCGATGGAACCTTATTGAATACGCTTAAAGCGCACAAAGATGTGGTTAATTGTGTTGCTTACGCTCGCGATGGTAAAAAGTTTGCTAGTGGTGCTGTAGACAAAACAGTAATTGTGTGGACACCCCAACTGGAAGGCTTGCTAAAATATTCGTAAGCTCTTATATTATACATCTGTTCTGGCCAGTGCAACCACTGCGTTTAGCTAATGTAAATAATGCTATTTTTTTATAGGCATAATGATTCAGTACAATGCATGGCTTTTAATCCGGTCTCACACCAATTGGCGTCTTGTTCTCACAGTGACTTCGCTTTTTGGTCTGCGGATCAGAAAGCGGTCCAAAAGTATAAGATCTCAACTCGCGTCAATTCCTGTTCGTGGACGAATGATGGACAATATTTGATACTTGGATTAGCTAACGGCAGTATTTCCATACGAAGCAAAGTATATATATAATTTATTAATATCATATATCTGTACTTACCATTTATGTAAATATAAAAATTTCTTATTCATATACAGGTCGGTGAGGAAAAAGGTCGCTTTGATCGTCCAGGTGGTTCTAGTAGCAATGTCTTTAGTTTACAATGTTGTCCTATGACAAGTACTGATGTCATTGGTGTGGCTGATTGGGGTCAAACACTGTCGTTTCATACACTCAGCGGTCAAATGATTGGAAAGGAACGTGCGCTTGGTTTCGATCCGCTTTGCTTAACATACTTTCCTAATGGAGAATATTGCATAGTGAGTGGCTGTTCGGACTCACTGCATTTATTTACTAAGGAAGGTATACGTTTGGGCATACTTGGCGAAGGTTTTAAATCGTGGATTTGGTCAGTTGCTATTCACCCGAATGGACAGTCCTATACAATTGGATGTCAAAATGGCACAGTCGCATGCTTCAACATCGTTTCTAGCACAGTACACGCTTTATACCGCGAGCGTTATGCATTTCGTGAAAACATGTGTGATGTTATTATACAGCATCTGATATCAGGACAAAAAGTGCGCATCAAGTGTCGTGATTTAGTGCAGAAAATAGCTATCTACAGGAATCGTTTAGCGGTGCAATTGCCCGAGCGAGTAGTCTTATACGAATTGAGCTCCGGCGAGGAACAACCGATGCATTATAAAGTCAAGGAAAAAATACAGAAGAAATTCGATTGTAGTCTATTAGTGGTGTGTGCACGTCACATAGTCCTATGTCAAGAAAAGCGTCTCCAATGCTTAGACTTCAACGGCATACTGCAACGGGATTGGATAATGGATTCTTTCATTCGCTATATAAAGGTGCTGAAGATTGATTTTTTAAATCATTTTCTTAAAAATATATATTTATCAATGTATTTGTAAAGGTGTCTGGCGGACCAGCAGGTCGAGAAGGACTACTTGTGGGTCTCAAGAGTGGGCAGGTTAGCTTCAATATATTTATTATTAATAAACTAAACACTACACCCAAAATTTGTAGGTATTTCGTATATTCTTGGACAACTCGCTGCCACTTATGATCACAAGTGTTGTGTCAGCCGTGCGTTGCTTAGATATAAATGCGAATCGAACTAAAATTGCTGTTGTGGATGACACTGGTCGTTTGGTCGTTCGGGATATTGTGAGCGATACTCTACTCTACCAGGTTTCTATAACTTTTATTCGTGATAATAAACATGGATAATTTGGAATTAATTTTAAGGATACTGGTGTAAACTCAGTAACTTGGAATACACACCTAGATTCGATGCTTTGCTACACGCACACTATTGGTGGCCTGAGCATTCGAGTTGGCAGCCTACCACCACGGGGACCACAGAATATGTTAGGTGTAGTTGTGGGTCTTTGTGGCGCTACAGCTTTTTGTTTACGTGGCAACGTTATGCATAACATACCACTAGCTCTGGGTGCAACAATGTGGCAATTCGTGGAAGCGGGTCTTTTTGAGTAATATCAAGTATGGACTAAATTAAATTTGTCTTTTTAATTAAAAATGTGTGTTGCAGTGAGGCCTATCAGGTTGCCTGTCTAGGTGTGACCCCAACCGATTGGGAGGGTCTCGCGCAATCAGCTTTAGAAGCGTTGCATCTGAATATAGCGCGCGATGCATATGTAAAAGTGCGTAACCTTCCTTGGTTACAGTTTATTGATGAGTTATGCGAAAAGCAGAAACGCGGCGAAGTACCAAAAGAGGTGCTGCAGGGTGAAAGCAGTGCATATGCGGGAAAATATAAGGAAGCCGCTCGTCTTTTTCAAAAATGTAATCAGCCTATGCGTGCCCTAGAAATGTATACAGATTTGCGTATGTTCGATTTGGCTCAAGAATTCATTAAGGACGGCTCGGATGAAGCCAAACGTGAGTTGGTGAAAAAACGTGCTGAGTGGGCCTACTCTGTGAAGGAGCCACGCGCTGCTGCCGAACTCTTATTATCGGCTGGAGAACATCAAAGAGCTATTGATATTGTTGCAGAGCAGGGTTGGGCAGATATGTGGGTAGGCTCATTGAGAACGAATTGACATCGCTGATCCAATTGTATTTACAGTTTATACGATATCGGTCGTCGTCTAAGTTTGAGCGAGAGAACTTCTTTGGAGTCGGTTGCATTCAATTTAAAGCAGTTAAAGGCATTACCGTTGGCTGCGGAAATTTTTAAGAAGTTGGGCGATGAGGCACAAGTAATACAATTGCATGTTGAAGCACGTGATTGGACTGAGGCTTTCAGGCTGGCTGAGAATATACCTGAAATGTTGCCAACTGTGAACTACCAACATGCTCAATGGCTTGCAGAATCAGACAAATTTATTGAAGCTCATGAAGGTTAACCTTATACCTTTTTATTAACTATTTAGCAGTTTTCAACATAATTTTTGCATAACATTACGTAGCTTACTTGAAGGCGGGTCGTTTGAAGGATGCTAATCGTTTGCTAAAGCAGTTAAGCACATCGGCTATTGAGGAGGAACGTTTTCTAGATGCCAGCTACTTTTATTGGCTGTTATCCAAGCAATATCTAGACATCTATTATAAGAAGGAGTAAATATGACAGCTTTTCGGACATGATATTTTGTTAATGAAATATTATATTGTTTTTATCAGCGAACAAACGCCTACCGACCACCACTTTAAAGAGTATCAAAATCATTTGCGCATTGCTAAAGTTTACTATGCATACAGCATAATATTTAATTACATGAAGGAACCGTTTACAACATATTCGCCAGTTAGTTTATTCAACGTGAGTCGTTTTATATTGAACGAGGTGGAGTACAAAGGCACACCGAAGGGAGTTAGCTTGTTGTAAGACATAATATTTTCTCTCAAAATTATCAGATTTGTTATTTACAATACAAATAGTAAATGAACTTACATATATTCTTGGTTATTCATGTTGCTATTCTAAACATTATCTCCCACCAGTGCTGTACTATTTACGTTGGCAAAACAGGCCAAATTACTGCAGGCTAACAAATTGTGCTTAGTTGTAAACAAGCGTTTGCAATCGCTTAAACCACCGGCCGGCGTACAAGAGCAAATTGATGTATGATTTTTATTTATTTAACGCAGTTTTACCGTTAATAATCAATTTGTTTTCAAATACTTTACTTGCAGATAAACTATCTGAATAGTAAGGCCTGCAAAAGCGGTTTCAATGATCCGGAGGAACTGTTGCCACTCTGTTATAAATGCTCAAATTACAGTCAACACCTAAACGGCAATAACTGTCCGACCTGCAAGCAGGACTACATTTTTTCTTTTATTTCTTTTGGTATGTCCATATTGTATTTAATACAATCCATTGCAAATGTCATCGATTCACTTTTTTTTTTAGAAATTTTACCATTAGTGCAATTTCATCCAGAGGTTGATATAAATGATGCCGAGGCTGAACGGCTGCTACTTGCTCCACCAAAACCTGCTGAGGAAGGTGATCCTTTTAGCGAAGTAAGATCGTATAGATTTATGTGTTTTTCACATGTACTACCACTTATATAAACATTTTATAAAAGGATGTTGCTAGCGCTTTACCATTAAGTCTGGATCGCAATGCATTGCGCGGGATCGACCCAAGTCACATTTTAATAGTTAAACGTCGTGAAAAAAATCTGAAAAATATATACTATCGTAATATATTACCAGACCTACAAGTAACATTTTGTCCGGAATGTTTATTGGTTAGTATCATAAACTCTATCGACATTTTACTCTTTGTTTGTAATGGATTATTTCTGTTCAGGTATTTTATTCGGAGGACTTTGAGTTACAGGTATTACAAAAAGGTTATTGTCCTTTCTGTCGTACAACATCAGAAAAATTATTTGATGAATATTTGTAAAGTGCCTTCTGAAACAAATGTTTAATAAATATAAATAATTTCTAAAGATAATAATTACGTGCTGTGTTTTTCAGAATTTATTACTAATATAAAATATTATGCGGTAAATGCTGGTACAGTATTATAGTTACATATGTACTTGTCCATAATTTATATATTCTGTTTATTAGTTATAAATTTTACTAACCATTTTTATTGCGTTATTTTACGACCATGTCTCCTCTTGATATCTCCGACTTTTAATCATCTGATTCAAATATTCCTCATCTCCATTCAACACTTCAATAAACGCCTCACGAACCGCTTTGGGCATACTATTCGAGGAACCAGCAACTAATATCACAGCCATTCTCTTCAAAATTAATTCACTAATTCGTGCATTTTCTTTTGTTATCAAATGTTGAACGTACACTTTGTGTTCTTGGTCACGTGAAAATGCTACAAACACTTCACAGCATTTCTCTTTTTGCCATTTAGATAAATCATCAACAAAGTGAAAGTCCTTCGTTTTATTTCGGCACCCGAAGAAAATAATCAAATCGCCGACTTTGGCGCCACTGTTTTGTTGCTCATTTCTATATTGTATTACACTTCGAAAAGGTGCAATTCCTGTTCCTGGGCCTACCATAATGATTGGTGTTGCCAGGTCGATAGGCAATGTCATTGTACCGTTTTTTATCGTACCAAATACACTACTTCCAATTGGTAATGATTTTAACCAATTTGAACAAAGTCCAAGTCGTGGAGTTGACATTTTGGTTTTATACTCAACCACTGCTACGAGGAGATCAAGTGAATGTGTGGACGGCATAGAAGCAATTGAAAAACTACGTGGTTGTATGATAGTGAACATTTCAAACAAAATTGATAGTTTCAATTTTGACGTACTGTGTCGGAAGTCTTGCAAAACTTCTAGGATTGTACGTTTTGGGCGGTTCACGTAATTTATAAGATCATCCAAACCATCAATTGTGGCGAATTCTTCTAATTTTTCCTTCTCCAATTCATCCTCACAATTCAAAGACAACAGCTCAAAAGCGCGTTGATTGGGGCGAGCACTCAAATCCCAAATATACTTTGCTAACATACCCACATTCACTGGATTTGCGTAAGCCAATGGTACTGGCATATCATCATACACAGTTTCCAGTTTTACCACCGTTTTTTCGTTAAAGTCCAAATTATGTTCTCTGACTAATTCGAAAAACTTTTGAACTTGCTCATCGGAATTAGTAGGTCGTAAGTCTAAAACATCCCCGGCATTCCATTTAACATCAGAAGGAAATTCAAAACTAAGAAATCGTACATCTTGAAAATGACTTACGTCAGTGGTTCGCTGATTATCACTTAATTTTAAACTTATAGCTTCACTATTTAGTGACCATTTCAGCTTATCCTCCGGCATCAAAGGCGTTTCTTGGGCAAGGCAAATCAAACGCCACTTAAAAATGCTTTTTGCGTCACCGTTTTTCTTCAAAGCATTAAACGGTAGAGTCATTTTCAAGTTATTCCACAGCTCTGCAATCCATGGTAAAGCTGTCGCACCAAGTCCATGATCATGTTGATCATCACATAGACCTAAAGGTTGGATCAAATTGCCACCTAGCTGCATTAGACGTTTGTTTAATTTTTTAGCTGCAAAATTAAATTTAGCATAACTAGAATCGCCTAGTCCTAAACAAGCGAATTGTAAGTTTTGTAGTGAATCCCCCGGTAAGCTTCGTCGCAATAAAAATTTCCACGTTTTTCGCATATTATCTGGTTCATCGCCATTGCCTGTGGTGGCTACGACAAAAATTGCTAATTTTTCCTCAATCATTTTCTCTATTGGATACTCATCCATTGATAACACTGGGCCACTAAATCCCCACGTTTTTGATTCGCGCCAAATTTGCTCTGCCACATTTTGGGCTGTACCCGTTTGACTACCATAGAGAACAACCAAACGCATTTTCACACTTTAGAATAAAAATTTCAGTTGTTTTAATATATATAAAACTGTTTAGAACGAGCGCGTGTAAATACCGGCTCGATCTTGCAAATTTTTAAGTGAAATTTGGATAATGAATGAAACAGCTGTGCATGAATTACTATTGGTGGGAACAGAATAAAACTTAACATAGTGCCCATACTTTCCCAACGAAATTATGCGATTACATCTCTTCCCATTTTTATATAATACAATACTTTGTAGTAATGCAAACATTTTATATCGCATATGTTTGGCACACATTTATCAATAAAAATAACAATATTAATGCTTTGTATGAAAATAAGTATTAATATAAAGCTATATGTACATATGACCATAACTTCATAAAAATAGCGAAGGCGATTTTTCTATATGAATCTTTATGATTTAAAGCTTTAAAGTGTTTTTAAAAATGTAAATCTATATTCAAAAATGATTAAATAATACCTAACCGTTGTTATTGCAATTATTTGATAGACAATTTATAATTTGTAATAACAATTTGTTTATTTTTAATCAATTGGTAACTGCAAAATATAATCAGCTGCTTGTGTTACCGGCAAATGCAACTACAATAAAAAAATATTATTTACTGTATGTTGTGCAACGAAAATAGTAAAAATGTTAAGAGTAGTTAAAACCACAATTAATTGGGGATCTGCTCCAATTAAATTAGTAGCAAAAATTGGAGAGAAACCACATACATTAAGGTTGTTTTCAACAGGACACCAAAGATGGCAATATTCTCGGGGAAACGGATCCACTACTGTGCGCTTTGAGAGTAACAAAAAAATAACACCTCTTGGCTGGTTTTTGTTAGTAAGTTATACATTTTCAAAATTCTTGAAAAATCTCTAAAAATTTCATGTAATCAGCTCGCGCCTGTGTCCACATTTGGTTTAGGTTGTTGGCAGGTGAAACGTAAAGCTTGGAAGGAGCAACTAATAAAAGACTTAGAGCTGCAAACGCAAATGCCACCAGTACCTCTACCGGCTGAGTAATATTTAACTACATCCGCATTATAAAAAAAATATTTCGATTTTTAACACATATACATATGTATCTCAGCTTTTCTGAATTGTCGGCCATGGAATATCGCTTGGTTTCGGTACGCGGGAAATTTATGCACGACAAGGAAATGCTTATGGGCCCTCGTTCATTTATACGTCCCGATGGCGGAGAAACGACTGGAGGTTTATTCTCACAACGTGATACGGGTAATGGCTATCTTGTGATAACACCGTTTAAATTAGCTGACCGAGAGTAAGAAATGTTGCATTTTTATGATATGTGGAATATTTTGTGTCGGTTTGTGCCTTTATAGTGAAATAATTTTGATCAATCGGGGATGGGTGTCGAGAAAACATGTCAAACCGGAAACGCGTATTTCGGGTCAAATAGACACTGAGGTGGAGTTAACTGGTGTGGTACGAATGGGCGAGAGTCGCCCACAATTCTCTCCAGATCATAAAGGCGGCATTTTTCTCTACAGGTGAGCACTGCATTCCTCAAAAATTGTGTTCATCATATATATATTTTTCCAGGGATTTGCCAAAAATGTGTGCATTAACTGGCGCATCTCCGATTATGTTAGATGCCACCTATGAGTCATCTATACCCAACGGTCCCATAGGTGGACAAACACGTGTCACCTTACGTAACGAGCATTTGTCGTACTTACTAACGTGGTTCAGCTTATCAGCAATTACTTCCTACCTGTGGTACCGTCAAATACTAAAGAGGATACCATTTTAAAAGTCGCTTACAAAATACAGTTGCCAAAGTAATATAATTTATTGTTTATACTTTTATTATTAAAATGTACTTAGTTACTGCACACGTATATAATTGGAATTTCATGCGTATATCAATATATATTTTTTTATTGCAAAATGAATTAGAACGAGCAAAAATACGTGCCAGTGCATGATTTTTATGTATTTAGAAATACGTTTATGTAAATTGAACACAATACAAAATTGCATTCACTTATATAAGTACCGTTGGCAGGAAATGATATAACTAATTTCGCCACGCATGGCGGCATGAATAGAATGGTTGCAGTATGCATGGCGGTTTTAAACGGCGACGCATTTAAACTTTAAATATGCTTAATACAACGTGTTTGTGTTATTATATAAAATACATTTTTAGACGTATACATGTACACACGTATTTAGTAAATATTTACAATGATAAATGTTACAGCAAAATAATAAATACTGTATATAGGCTACACTTTAAAGTGTTCGGAAACATTTTTTCGTTTTGTTTTTCAGCAACTTGGCGTTTCTTTATCAACTGACAAATTTACTTCACTTGCGACGTTTTTGTGCACATTTGGCTTAATTCTACAATTGTGGCACAGTGCCCCAGGAGGGCATTAAACCGTTTCGTTGATAGCGTTTCCCAATTGTTTGCACGTGGAAACCGATCTGCTGCAAGTTCTCATGATCGAGGATTTTACGTCCATCAAATATATATGCTGGTTTCATCATTGACTGGTAAATTCGTTTATAGTCTAATGTCTGTGGGTGGTAAAAAAAAAACCCGTTAAGTCACCACGATATTTAAAATAGTCAAATTGTAATGGTTGTGTAAAGCTTACCACAAATTCATCCCACTCGGTGCAAAGCACAATCGCATGTGTGCCACGAACAGCGCTATATGGATCACTATGTATTTGCACGGCCTTTTTGACATTTTCCGGCGATTCCGTTACACACGGATGTGTTAGATCGTCGATTATTTGCTCGGGCTCCACCTTTGGATCGTAAATGTCCAGCTTGGCGCCCTCTTCCAGCAGTGTTTTGCACACCGTTATGGCTGGCGTTTCACGTGTGTCACCAGTGTTTTTCTTGAAAGCGAAACCGAAGATAGAAATGCGTTTATCTGAGACAGTATTGAATAGACTCTCAATGATCTGTAATCAAATTAAAAGAATTTACGTAAAATGTCATTTGCAAGAACCATTTAGCTACTAAATATCACCTTTTGCGAAAACCGCGACTTCTGATACTCATTCATGTCAATCACTTGTTGCCAATACGCCGCGACTTCCGGCAAATTGAGACCCTCGCATATGTATACCAAATTCAAAATATCTTTCTGGAAGCAGCTACCACCAAAACCCACCGATGCTTGCAAGAACTTCGCGCCAATGCGTGAATCCAACCCCACAGCGCGCGCCACTTCAGAAACATCCGCGCCCGTAGCCTCGCACACAGCCGACAATGAGTTAATGCTCGATATCCGTTGCGCGAGGAATGCATTTGCCGCTAATTTCGATAATTCTGAGCTCCAAGTGTTCGTTGTGAGTATATTCTTTTTTGGTATCCAGTGTTCATAAATCCAGGATAACTTTTCAACCGCTTTGTGTCCCTCGAGCGTTTCCTCACCACCAATAAGCACACGATCGGCATGCACCAGATCTTCGATGGCTGTGCCTTCGGCAAGAAATTCAGGATTCGAGAGTATATCATAACGAATGCCAGGCCTTTGATTGGCATGCAGTATATGCATTATACTCTCGGCAGCGCGCACTGGCACCGTACTTTTCTCCACCACGATCTTATTCGACTGCGCGATTTCAGCGATCATGCGCGCCGCACTCTCAACATACTTCAAATCGGCAGCACGACCTTCAAATTTTAATAAATTTGATTATTGATAATGTTTGAGAACTTTAAACAAACATATTCTTAGTATTAGCCAGAACACATGTATACATACCCTTGCCGTTGCCGAAGTTTTTTGTTGGTGTATTTACCGATATGAATATAAGATCGGCTTCTTTGATGGCAGTTTCGATATCGGTGGAGAAGAACAGATTGACATTGCGGCATTTTTTGACGACATCATCTAAGCCAGGCTAAAGATTAAAAAAAATTTAATTTAGTAATTAATGATTTTTTTTTTGTTAAATAGAAGAGTGAATTTTTTTTTTGCCAAAAATAGTTTAATTGCCCATTAATATTACATTAAAAGGTAATAAAACTGATATTTATTACATAAAATATAAATATTGTGTATCCATACAGACATACATATGTATATATGTATGTATGTAAATGTATGCAAATATTTCGTGTGTATCGATACAAAACTAACTGACAAACCGCAATTAAACACTTTTTTGGGACAAATAGTTCAACTCGATTACTACATATGCATACATACATAACTATATGGATATACATGAGTACCTTCCTATAAGCATAAAAAAATTCAAAAGTCAAGGGTCTACGCGTTTAAATTGTTAATAAATGGCCAACAAATCTGAATTGGCGAACACACAGCCAAACAAACCAATGAAGAGTTTCAATTAACAATAACGGAAACGTGTGCGAAATTTAAATGAATTCAAGCGTGTAAAAGTCAAACAAATTCATAAGTGGGAATAACGCCACACGCGTCTTCCCATGACTTTGCGCACATACAGGGTGTTATCAAGCAACGGCGCCGAGTGGCGGTTTTTCGCTGCTCATTTAGAATATTGTCTGTACAAACATTTTTATTATTGACTTTGCGTAAGAAATTGTACATATGTACATATATCAATATGTATGGTATGTATATATGTTTGTATGTATGTGCATATTCTTTGTGCAAAATAAAATTGCATATTTAGTTGTAGCTGCTATTATGAATGCGAATACCCGCACGAAGTCGTTACTAAATAATATTCTGCATACATCCATATGCCTTTGTAGGCAATTTAACTACTTTATAAGCTTTTCCGTCTAACTATTTCTAGTACATACACACATACTTACATACATATGTTTGTGTGTGCAGTAAGCAATTTCAGCTGAAGATAAAATACATCATGTAAGCTACATTTTCGGTTCGTGCTGACTAAGAACGCTTAAATGTTCACATGCAAGTACCGGAGCGTGTTTGTATGCATGAAAGTGTGTTTCGAGATACGTTTAGGAAGTGACCATGTGAAATTATTTCAAGTGAAACGCTTCGTAAAAGATTTAACTGAGTACTTTTTCCTGCAAAAGCAAAAGCGCTTAAGTAAACAGAGTACTTGTATAGAAATGTATGTATGTATAAAATCAAAATAATGGCCAGATAAAGCAATGGAAATACTTGATAACAAAGGTTTGTGTTAGCTAGAATATGTATAGAAAAGAGAGTGTCTGCGCGCGCAAAAGATAGAATGCAGGCCAAAGCGGAAATGTGTGCGTAATTAGAGAAACTGCTCTGCGATAAGGCATCCGTACACAACACTGTTGGAAATTTAGTTAAATTTGATATGGCACTCATTTTGAAGATATTCTAATAATGCCATGCAACTTTTTTAGACATATGTATATATTTACATGTTTGCGGGATAACAGTTTAGAGAGATTATATAAAACGTAAAATAAGCAAATTTTTTTCTTGAATATTTTGAAAACTATAATCGATTTTGAAGGGAGTGATAAGCCTAGAGCGGAAATGAATCATGATTGTTTTGGTTACATATACATATGTATATATTTGACCCGAACTTTCATTTAAACTGCGAAACCGCTAACCTAATCGATAAAAAATTCAGATTTAAAATTATTTTGGTAAACCCTTTTATGTTCGTGTGAAGTCTGGTTTCCATATGTGAATTAGCGTTTGTTAAGGAGCTGTTTGTTTACGACTCAAAAAGTTTGTGTGGCCATTTTCCAATGAAAAAAAAAAATTTAACGACTTTTCCTGAAATTTTGTGTGTTCCAATAGAATCATGGGTGCGGAATCGTTGAAAATGTTGCAGACGTACCAAAAGACATTAAACTTTTGCAAATACGACGTCGAGTAGAGTTTGCGATCTGATGGTCACTAAGGATCAGGACACTAAGGTCAAACTGTCGAAAAATCTAGCGAATGGGTGCTCCAAAAATGAGCCGGAACCGAAACAACCATTCGCTAAATGCACTGAAGGTCATCCCAGCAGAGGCTCATAAGAAGTGTAAGGAAAGTTTAATAAAAACGTGGGTATGCTAACCGGGTTTTACGGCTTCAAAGCTGTTTTAAGTGTTTTAAAATAAAAATATAAAAGGAGAAATTGAAAGACGTTTTTTCTTAATATCCATATGTTCATAAGTAGTCGAAAATTGGGTTCATCGAATTCGTTCATGTAAAAGAAGTTGTGGAGGCCACTTGAATAATGTTATTCAGAACTCAATTGTACTTCACTTTAAATAAAACACATTGGAATTTTCTTAACAACTAGTGTGTCTTTTTTTCAAAAGGAATCATATCGCTATTGGAAATACCCGAATAGACGTACAATGGATAATTATTTTGGTATACTTTATCAAGCATACATATATATGTATATGTGTGTATTTTTCTTGGGTAAATATATTTGTAGCTAAAAATAATTTACTACAGTCGAATAAATTATACTTATCAATTATATAAACCGCTATTTTAACCATATAAGTGTACGTATATATTTCATTATAAACATTTTTAGTATACAAGAGCCAAATTATTAACACTGATATTTATACATTAATACTATAATACTGTGAACTATATACGATTGCAATAAATTTATGTCGAATTAGACTAAGCGGAATAGAGATTTCGGTTATTGAACTTGGTGAAAGATCGCTAAAATATGTATATATATTTAGCTTTCCTTATACGCCATCAAAATAATTCATTAACCATTGACAATAAACACTTGAAAGAGAATAAAAAAGGTGTGATCGTTTTAAAGCTAACTAAACTGCTGACCTATACGCAAGTCTCGAGAAACTGTCAGTATACAACTAACCTCAAAACTTTTAATGATCAACAGGA